TAATATATTATATATTTAAATATGTACTTCAAATTCTAGAATATACTTTGAATTAAAAAAATTACACTTACACGATAAAAAAAATTAAAAAATTCATTGTCAAAAGAATATTAATTAAATTATACGAAAATATTTTACAAAAATCTAATAAAGTGAGTCACATTTTAATTAAAAATAAAATTGTATCTTTACTTAATAGTACTAATTTAAATTAATTTATTAATTAATTTAATACATTATATATATATATATATATATATATATATATATATATATATATATACTTCAAACTCTAAAATATCCTTTAAATTAAAAAAACTAAACTTACACGATAAAAAATTAAAATAAAATTTATTGTCAAATATTAAAAATAGAAAAAAGAATATTAATTAAATTATACAAAAATATTTTATAAAAATCTAATAAAGTAAGTCACTTTTTAATTAAAAATAAAATTATATTTTTACTTTAACTTATATTCAAATGTAATCCACGGTCGTACGTGATTTAAAAAATAAATAAAAACTTAATTAATATAGTATGAGACAAATAAGGATGAGAATGAAACATAAAGTTGACTTACTATACAAAACTAAAGTCTGAGCCTAATTTTATGACTTGACATAGACTAAATTTTTAAGTTTGACTTGACATTTTTAAAAGTTTAACCTCTCTAAATAGACTTTTTAGTAGTCTATTTAATATTAAAACTTTTAAATAATACTAATAATTTAAACTTAATAGGTCAATGGACTAATAATAATGGACATATGGACATATGATAAGTAATTATTTATATCCAAAGTTTTAATTGGTACTATTTTCCCACTATAACCCATAAAACAAAAACTAAATTATCGAGATGCACTAGTGGATTATCATGAAGCATCTTAATTTTTGCATTATCAATTGGAGTTGGGTTAGCAGTGCTTTGATCCTTGTTACTGCATGGAGGGTCTTCATGAAGTTTTATTGGGCATTTTACAGCATTGAATTCAACCTTTCTTGAAGCAGCATTGCCAAGATCAACGCCACAAATGTGAGAGAGCCTAACAAGGTAAAGTAACACATCTGAAAGCTCTTCTTCAAGATAAACCTTTTCCTTTTTTTCCCAATCTGAAAGTCCCTTTGGAACCTCACCCTTCCGCTGAAAGATCTCTGACAATTCTCCCACTTCACATATCTGTACAATCACAAGTAAACAGAATCTGTTTCCAGTTTCCAAAGTCTATTTTCATCAGGGACACTGTTTTATAGACGTACCTTTAAGTATGTACATAAAAAAAAAAAAAAAAAACACATAACATATAAATAATGCACTTCAATTTTATGAAATTTTTTTATCTTGACATGTTAATAATTTTTTTATTTTTCTAACGTCTGTGCAGAAGTTAAAACTAAATTTGTTCATTTAAAATAAAATATTTATTTTTTCAAAATTATAAAATAATTCAATCCACAGTTTAAAGTGTTTAATAAAAATATTTAACGTACATTCATTAAAATTACCATAAAAATAGTTCATAATTTTGGGATCACAAAAAGTCAGAACCTTGGCCAAGATGAAAAGCCTTAGGATTGAACAATTAAAAAAACTAAAGTAGATAACTTGAAAAAATAAATATATTCAAGGTTCCAATTACATAAATCATGATAACAAATTTACTATTTTGGGTCAATAACATTAAAATGACTCTACGTGAGACCTTTACTTCTTTTTGGATGAAAATAACATAAACAAATGATGTTCGTAAAAGGGGCAACTAGAACAAATAAAGAGCATTTTTTTCTTCTTCTTTATGGGTTTTAAAACAGAAGCATCCCAAAGCCGAAGGAAGGTTCCCGGGGCTATGAAATTGGTCCGCGTCCCTTTCCTTTGCAAACTCACTCATTTTCTGCTTAAGCATGTTAAGAGTAGTGGACTCATCTGACTTATCTTTAAACCACAAAACAAAGAAGAGAATGAAGAAAGAGTTCTCGAGAGAGATAAAGAAAGGAAAGACTGTTATAGAAACACATTATATAAGGAGCAGAAGGCAAGAAAGGCAATTATGAAGCATTTTTGTTAACGAAGAGTTGATTGCGTTTCCCTTATTTCTTTACGATTCTTGTACTAAACAAGAGTGAGATCGTAAGTCTTGGGATCACCTTTTATTTCTTTAGCTTCTGATTTTTTCCTCGCATTGTTAGTAAGTATTCAACCATGACAAGGATTATGATGATATTACCTATTCACTCTCCAGCATTTGTGGTTTATTTGGGAAGGTCTATGCATAGACCCATAATAGCATACATTAGTACCGATTTAGGTGTGCACGAGGTGACAAATAACGGTGTTATAATTTTAACACTAGAATAGAAATTGACAAGGCTGAATAGTAAATGGAAATGTGCATGTTCTCATGGAATGGGATGCATGTAGTAGCAGATAGATCAGAACTGGGCTATATATTATTTGGGAAAGCACTATGATGTGATGTAACTTGATGCATAATGCAAATCCAAAAATATTGATCCTAAACAATTTACCTTGCAACATATTTGTTTTGTTAAAATTTCTATAGGATAGCTTTTTATCTGATGGTCCATCAAACAATTGGTTTCTTTTGGAGTTGATAACACAAACACAATTTAGACCAAGGTTCTCGAACTCAAAAACACAAAAGCAGTTGAGCAGACTGAGCCAAGGAAGTCTTACGAAAGTATTCTCCATCTCATACACCTAAATCTAAGTCTCAATTGGAATTAAGAAAGGTGTGTGATGTTGAATAAACTTAAATGTCGGTTTTAATTAGTTTTAATTCAGCAGTTTTTTGTTAGAATAAAAGGTCAAGAGTTAGCAGTTATGTTTTTTGATAAATGGTTATAATGGGTTTTGATTGTAGTTTATGCCTATTAATAGAATTTAAGTTTTTTTAATTTATAAATAGATCATTGTATTATTTGACAAAAAGTGTGAGAAATATACAGACAATTTTTTTCTCCTCTATCGATTTTTCAATTCTACATGTGATGAGTGTATGGGGTGGAAAAGTTATTTACGGTGAGAAAATGGATTTGATGAACTAGGAAGCCTCACGTTAACGAGTTTTATGTCATCTTGAACTTTGAGATCATATCTTGGGGCCTACTGAGCTTTTCCTTGACAAGTTGTATTTTTTCATGTTTTTGTTCTTTGATTTAGTTCTCTTTAATACTATCTCTTGAGTTTTTAAATATTAAAAAATAACATATTTAAAAAGTTTATGATAATTACATATGTGTTAAGAGAGAAGGAAAAATAAAAAAGCATTAATGGAATCCATGTTTTAACTATACAATGGAGCATATATTTATATTGATAATATATAGTTATAATTACATAATATTTACAAAATATTAACTTAATTAATATAATTACAAAGATAATCTTACCTTATCAATATGGTTACACATATTTTACAAAAGACATGGAAATCTGTAGTTATAAAGCAACTGAATTGTTAGGCTCCCCCTCATTATACGTTCTATGTCAAGGAACTATGTTCTATTGGGAGGAAACCTGATATTTAAGGATAGTAAGGTGCATATTATAGTCCTCACATCTAGCATGGAATTTGATTGTTGATCCATGAGAACTTTTACGTGTAACCTCATATAATTTTGAGAAAAATTCAGGAGCCGTTATTTCTAAATAGGTTTATATAAAATATGAATTTGACAGTGATGTTTTGATCTTTGCTTTTGATCCTACCTAGAGGACAACACTTTGGTTGATGTTTATAAATTTTGAGAATCTCTATTTCAAAAGAATCAATTGATATTTGTTGATGCACAATTTTTGTTTATGTTTTTTATTATAAAAATTGAATTTATAGTATAATAATGCACTCTGATAATTTTGATTTCTTTTCAATTGTTTTATCACAGAAAATCACTAGAGATAGGGTTACGATGGAGTTGGCATGAAAACACGAAATGTCAATTGATGCAAGCAAGATGCTCAAGTTAAGGCAAGTTCATTGAATTCTGCTGCCATGGGAGCATCTGTGGGTCATGGTCAAGGTTTTATCTTGGCAATTGTGATCGGGGATAATAGATAGATGAAATTTATATGAAAACAAATTTTAATTTTGTTGTCACATTAACAGTATTTTTTTACCCATTTATTTATTAAATTATTGTAAATACTTGAGTTTTGCATTTGTTTTGTTGCCTGACTTGGTAGAAATGCTATTAAATTGAAACATGGAAGATTCCTAATGAAATTGGGTTTGATTGAGTTAAATGTGCTGATGTATATATCAAAAGGTCCAATACCTTGTAAATGAGGTGTTTTTCTAGACTTACATTGACTATAGCATTATTTTTCAACAATTTATAATCTTTACGAAAAAACTTAGTGTTGTTATGTAAATAGTTGGGGTCTTATTTTTTAATTAAAATTAATGTTATTTAATAATTAAATCTTTTTACTATCAACTTTTATTACACAAGTTAATGAGTTTAAACTTCAATTTGAATAACAACACTATAAATGTGAGATCATAAGTCTTGGGGGTTAGATTTTTACTTTTGAAATTGGTTAATTGTGATGCATTTTGGCATTCAAAGTAATTGTAAACTATCCCTCTTAGAAGAGAGACTAAGACTAAAAACATTCTAATAGATGCCTTAGGTCATTAAACTATTGTAAATAGTAGTTGTACTTTGAATAAAAGGTAAAAAATAATAATTTTTGAACAATTAAGTAAAATTGATTTCTTAAATTCAAAGTCAAAATTTAATACTAATTTTTTTTACTAATAACATGCAAATTTTTATATAATTCTGAGAAATAACTTAAATACCTCAATTTAGAACTTATAAAAGTCAACAGTGATATCTCTATTAGTGAGTTTAATATAAAGATAATTTTTTAATTTTTTAATAATATCAGTGCAGAGGAAAAAAATATTTATTAGCATTAAATATACGATGATTAATATCAATTTCAAAACACTCAGATAATCTTTAACAATTGAAAATTAACATTATTAGGATAATTTCTGTTTATTAGCAAAGGAAACAGGCACGATAATTGTTAAATTACGCAGTTTACAGTTACACTAGAACAAAAACAAACCTTTCCTCACAAAAAAAGGGGCATCAGTACCTTTATGATCACCATTCACGAAGGATAATTTGTGGGATGTGTGCAATTTGGCGACTAACAGCACTTGTCTCTGTTTGGCATTCTTTAAGTAAGAGGAAACAATCCTTGACCTCAAAGATTTTTAAGTTGGTAAGACGACTCATTCCTTCGGGTAGAAATTCCAATTCTGGGCAACCTGAGACTTCGATATGTTGAAGCGATGGGAGGTTGCAAATCCAATCTGGCAAAGCCTTTAGCCTTTCACACAAAACTATGCTGATTTTTTGCAAAGGAGGAAGGCAGTTGTTGTCGTCCTTAAACACTGTCTCAAATTCCTCAAGTGATTCACTGTTTTGAATTCCAAGAGACTCGAGAGAAGTCAGAGTTTGCATCCAACCCTTTGGTAAATTCATATGATCAGCAATCGTCAATTCTTTGAGCATGGAAAGAGGAGCAACGGAAGTAGATGAGTCAGCCGAACATGTTGACACTGTTGCTTTTAATGTTTCTATTAATGGCTCTGCACTGCAGTTTTTCAAGTCTAAAACCTTGACTGTTGGAAAAGTAGGCATGCAAGTCAACTGTGGACAGCAAGAGATGACTAGACGAGAAAGATCAGGAAATGAAAGAGGTAGAGAGAGATTATGTGAATCATTGATATCATCTCCCAGCCTCCCCCATCCCCTGAGCTTGGGACAATCAACTAACCTGAGGCTCTCCAAAGAAGGGAAGAAGGTTACTGCAAGACCATCTTCATAAAGACATATGTATTCCAATTCACTAAGAGAATCTATGTTAAGTGACTTCAGAAATGAGAGACGTTCCAACTGTGGGAGACAGCGACAATTAACAAACCCAACGAGAGCAATGTCAACAACATTTGTGAGGAGAGAAAGCCAACTTGGGAAAAGCACTCCTGGATACCACTTCACCACCAATCGCTTAAGATTATGGTGAGGCTGAAGGTTTTCTAGTAATTGTAAGCTGTCACTGTCAACGCCTCCATACAACCATGCCAGAGTCAAGGATTGAAGGAACTTCTTTTCTTTTAAATTTACATCCTGTGATTCCAGAGCCACGTCTCTCACCTTACTGAGAGAATTAATTGTTAATTCTCCCCTTAAGTGGTTTAAGTCCTTCAATTCATTTAGTGTGCTGCCACAGTTTGTTTCTTCCCTATCTCGCACGGCCAAGGCTGATAAGAATTGCAAAAAGCACAATTTTCCCAACCCAACTGGTATCGGAAACGGTGTGAAGATCGAACCATTAAACGTAAGATATCTTAAATGCTTCGATTCTCCAATTGAAGCGTCCCATTTGCAAAGAGGTGATATCCTCAAGACGCGTAAGTATTTGAATTTTGTAACAACAGCAGACATTTCCTCCTCTTGAAGACTGCTGTTATCCGGCAAATTCAAAGTTCTCACTCTGCTTGCATTCAACGAATCCAATAAATGAATGGCCCCAGTTTCCAAATACACGTGCATGGGACTACCTTCAACCTTTTCCGCCTTACTATCCAAGTAACAGCAATCATTGCCAGCAACAAGCATTGCAAGATCATGCATTAAATCATGCATTTTGAAACTAATGATCTCGCCGTAATCATCAATTTCTGCTTCTTGAAAAAATGAGTTCATCAAAAACGTCTTTACAAATTGGTTACCAATATCTTCCATGTCCATGCGGTGTTTTTCAGCTGAACATTCAAGGTAACCCTGTGCCATCCATAACTGAATTAAATTATTCTTTGAAATTTCTGAATCCTTGGGATTTAAAGAGCAGTAAGCAAAACATTGTCTCATTTCTGGCGACAAGTTGTGGTAACTGAGTTTTAGAATTGGCATGATATTATCTTGCTCTTCACATAATTTCCAGAAGTCACCACGTAAAACATTCTCCCATTCTCTTTCTTCAGTTTGTCCTCGTAACAGGCCTCCCAGTGTTTTGACCGCCAGTGGAACCCCTTTGCATTTTCTTGCTATTTCTTTCCCCATTGATTCTAGAGGTTGATTCACTTCTTTGGAATCATCCTCAAATGCAATGTTCTTCAACAAACTCCAAGATTCTTCGTCAGTCAAACCTTTCAAAGGATAGGAAGTACTAGCAGTCATTGCCTTTGCTACATTATCACTTCGAGTTGTCACTAAAATTTTGCTATTTTGAGCGCCACACATTAAGTACTTTCTCAGTTCAGCCCATCTGTCATGTCTCTCATTCCAAATGTCATCCAGGACCAACAAATATTTTTTACCGCTTATTTTTTGGTGAAGTTTTCTTTGCAAGTTGCCTAACGATAACTTGTCTTCAAATTGGTCACCAGTGATTGATTCTAATATTTTCTTCAGAATAGTTTTCACATCAAAGTTATCAGAGACACACACCCACACTTGCATTTCAAAAGAGTTCTGCTCTTCCAAGTCATTATACACCAACTGAGCAAGAGTTGTCTTCCCCAAGCCACCGAGGCCAACAATAGCAATCACAGAAACTCTTTGCTTTTCATGTGGTTGTCTCAACAGACTAATAATCTCTTTTTTACTCTCATCTCTTCCAATGATATCTGATTCTAACACAAAAGAACATGTTTCCCTCCATTCACGGTTAGTCTGCTTAACTACCCCTGATCTTGGGGTTAAATTCAAATCCTTCAATTCTTTTACTACATCATTAAAACTTTCTCGTATTTCTTTAATCTTGTCAGGCATTTCATTGTATAAAGGAATTTGATTTGAAGATGAAATGGAAAGAAGTACCTTGTTTACTTCTTTTCCTTCTGCTGTACCCAATTTGTCTCTCCTGAATTCAATAGCGAGGTCATCTAAAAAGTCATCTGCATGATGAAGTACTTTTTTGAACCTTCTGATCCAAACTCGCACACCACCGTTTTGATCTTGTTTATCGTCGGCATCAAGAAGCTTATCATTGATGGATTCAACAGTGTTCTTAAGCTCTTCTAACTCTTCCATCACACCATACTCTTGTCCAAATTCAAGAAAATCTGGGGAAGCTAACCTGTAAATAAGATTTGACGCAACAACAGCAAATGGCACTGACTCAAACTCAGCCATCAGTGAAAGAGAATGATGAAGGGTTGATACTGATATTGAAAGAGAGGAATGCAGTGTGTAAAAACAAATATAAATATGTTATATTATTTTTTTCTTAACTGGACCACACATCTATCTTTACAAGTTTAATTCATTTAAATTATATAAGATATCAAATTTTTTTATTTGATATTTAGAACATTTACGTCGATCATAGTTACTAAACCAGACCTAACTCAACTAGAATACTAAGTTAAGATCACTTATTCGACCTATCAATGAAATTAAAAAATATATATTCAATATAAACACAATTATAATCTAGGATTCAATATAAACACAATTATATTTATTTATAAGAAATATTTTATTATATCAGAAATAAATAAATGTCAAATTAAAATTGAATTAAAATTTTCTAAAATTTAATTTAATAATGAATTAAAATAAATAATTAATATAATTAAAACACCTAGCATAATAAAAAAATAGAACCAAATTTTAAAAGTACAGTCATTTGAAAATTTTCTTAAAAACGTTCGTAAAATTCACACTCATAAATTATGTATAAAACTTTATTATTAGATAATATTATAATGCATTTAAAATGTTGTCTAATACTGTTATTTCATATAGCTGAAATTATTTAATTTTTTAAAGAATAAATTTTAATATTTTATCTAAGAAAATATTTTGCCAATAATATTAATTTTAATTGATAAATATAATCAATATTTTTGCTAAAAAATAATATAATTATGATTTAATTTGATTTCAGTTAAATAATAATTCAGTAGAAAATTAAAAATTACAAAATAATCAATCGGTTAGTAATTTTTTTTTTTTAAAAAAAAGAAGATAGAAACTTGAGAAAAAATAAAAGGGTGAATGGTTAAAACTCAAAAAATAAACAGAAAGGACAAATAAAAGCTATGACCAGAAATAAGTACTTATAAAAAAGATAAAAGAAAGCATAAAAATAAAATTCTTAAATAAAAATTAAAAAAAAAGAAATATCAGTTTTTTTTGTAATATAATAGTTTTTTTTTTATCTTCAAAAAAGCTTTTATTGCATTAACGGTGAAAAGACAAAAACACTATAAAACAATACCATAAAATAAACTTCATATGCCAAACATTAAATAAATTTAAACACACGCATGAAACTGTGTTAAAAACTGATATTAGAAAAATAAAATAAAATACAAACTAAACTGGAAGCTAAACAAGTTATATGAAAGAATAAAAAAGAAAAAAAGATTAACAGTGTATTTGGTACAAGTTTATGAGTTAGCAAACGCACTTAAACTTAACACAACTCAGAGTCAGAATCGAAATATACGCTAAATTCTGTTAAAATCCAAGAAAATCTGCAGAAGCTAACCTGTGAATGAAGTTTGAAGCAACAGCAAATGGAATTGACTCAAACTTAGCCATCAGTGAAAGAGAACGATGAAGAAGGGTTGATACTGATATTCAAAGAGAGGAATGCAATTAATGTGTAGAAACAGTGAGGAAAGGAGCACAGATCTATATAATGAAATGAACACTGTGAAGTCGGCCACTCCTGGTTCACGCGTTTGGTAAAAAAATACTAAAGTATAACTTTATCATTTTTTTTCTTTCTTTATTCTTATGCATGATAATTTATAAAATTGACCTTTCATTTCACATTTTTAGTTGAATATGAAAACAAGAAAAAGTGGTTTGAAAACGATTAAGAAACAGCGTTAGAAGAGTGGTATATGGACCCAGGAATTAGGAGAGATCCACAAAACCCAAAAAATGAAATTAATGATATAAAATAGGCTAATGCGCCTTTTTCAACTTTCACCCATGTTTCAAACGTAAGATAACTATATTATAGTAGTTTTTTTCAAAATCTTTTTGACCCACGACCTCTATCTTTAAAAATAACTATAAGCTAAAAATATATTCTTAGTCTTTATATTTTAATAAATTTTAATTTTGAGTTTTTAAATTTTAAATTAAATTGGTGGGACATGAAAGCTGACAAAAAATTATGACAACTTAATGTTATTGATAGAAGCAATAATGTGGCAAAAGAAAGAGTTTATTAGTGAATCTAATAGCTTGATTATTGGTTATTCTTATTGGTCAGATGAAGTTAATTATATATTGAGTCAATAACTAGATTTTTTTCAATCTAACATTGTTGTTGAAGATATAATGTAGGAAATAATTAATGTTAGGAATGCACTTTGCAAGATGAGGAGAAAGAAGAGATCAAAACTTAAGTCAAATGCTTGAAATATGTATTTTGAAAGTTGCTTGTAATAGAACTTCTGAGAATATTGATTATAAAATAGATTAATTATCTCGTAACATGTATTATTAATTCTTTTTATATTTGTAACATGTTAGAGTACTCCTTGCACTCTAAATTTATTCTTAATAAAATATTAATATTCAGTCAAAAAAATATATATCTTTTACATTAATTTATCGTTTGAACATTTAAATTTTGGATCAATTTAATAAAGAAAATTATAAAGACTTACAAATTAATTTTTCTTTATACATTTAACTAATTTATTTTGTAAACTTTGTCAAATTATTTTTTTAATATCATGATTAATTTGTGATAATAATTAATAAATATAATCAATATTTTGTAAAAAAATGAATAAAGAAATTGTATTCAATCTAATATTTATTTTGATTAATTTGTTAAAATATTAAAGTCATGATTGATAAAGAAATAATACAAGAAAATTCTTCTGAACAAAATATTACGCTACCCTTTCTTGTATTTTAAAATTATACAATTTTCTTCCCTAAAAAGTTAAGATGCATCACAGTTTTATCCATTTTAAGTTTTTTGTTCAAGCATTGTTAAGTGCTTATTTGAAATTTTCTGACTAAAATAATTTTTTAAAATAAATTTTACACTTTTTTTTGTTAATTTTTAAAAAGGTGGAATGAACTCAATGTATTTTTCATGAAAAAAAAAGTAAGCACTTGTTATGAAAGTTTGTCTCGGCCGCCAATAATGAAACAAAACTAAAAAAGTTTCCACATATAATGAAATCGTACAAGATGTATATGACTTGTTATGGGGTGGAAAAGTTATTTACAGTGAGAAAATGGATTTGATGAAATAGGAAGCCTCACGTTAACCAGTTTTATGTCATCTTGAACTTTCAGCTTATATCTTGGGGCCTATGGAGCTTTTACTTGACTAGTAGTATTTTCTCATGTTTTTTGTTCTCTGTTTTAGTTCTATTTGATACTATCTATTGAGTTTTATGATTGTCAACAAGACTCTCATTGTTAGTCAATAAGTGTGTGGAAAGTTATCCTTTTTTTTTTTTGTGTTTTTTTAATAAAAATAACATGTTTCAAAAGTTTATGATAATTATATATGTGTTAAGAGAGAAGGGAAAATGAAAGAGTATTGATGAAATTCATGTATTTTAACTTTTAACTACACAACATAGCATATATTTATAGGTGTGTGTTGCAGTATTTTAAAATTTTTTTAACGGATACTATACCCAAAAAATTTAAACCAATAAAAATGAAATATATAGCAAGTTAAAATAAATATATTGTTATATATAATTTAACAAAAGACATGAAAATTTGTGGTTATAAAGCTGCTGAATTGTTAGGCTCCCCATCATTGGAAATTCTACGTCAAGGAACTATGTTCTATCGGGAGGAAACCTGATATTTAGTAAGGTGCATATTATAGTACTCAGGTCTATAGTGTGGAATTTGACCTCACATAGTTCTAAGCATTTTCTCGAGTTAAAAATCTTTGCATCACAAGTAATGAATATTGTCTTTGAAAATTTCAGGAGCCTTTATCTCTAAATGGATTTATATAAAAATGGGAATTTTGTAGAGTGCAGTGATGTTTTGATCTTTGCTTTTGATCCTACCTAGAGGACAATACTTTTGTTGATGTTTATAAATTTTGAGATTCTCTATTTCAAAAGAATCAATTGATATTTGTTGATGCACAATTTTTGTTTATATTTTTTTATTACAGAAATTGAATTTATAGTATAATAATGCACCCTGATAAAATTGATTTCTTTTCAATGGTTTTATCGCAGGAAATCGCTAGAGATAGGCTTATGATGGAGTTGGCACAGTAACAGACAATGTCAATGATACTCGAGCTAAGGCAAGTTCATTGGATTCTGCTGCCATAGGAGCATCCATGGGTTGTTGGTCTTGGCCTTATCCTGGCAATTGTGATGGGGATGCAACTGCCCCTGAGGAAGTCTTGAGGACCACATCATCTAATAATCCACCTGGTGCTTGCTCAACATTAGTTGGATTGTTTACTAGGATTTCGTTCTTTTTCTATATAATAGATAGATGAAATCTACATGAAGGCAAATTTTAATTTTGTTGTCACAGTAACAATATATTTCTACCCATTTATTTATTAAATTATTGTAAATACTTGAGATTTGCATTTGGCTTAGTAGAAATGCTATTAATTGAAACACGGATGAATCCTAATGAAATTGGGTTTGATTGAACTAAATGCGTTGATGTATATATTAAAAGGTTCAATACCTTGTAAATGAGGTGTTTTTCTAGACTTACATTTACTATAGCACTCTTTTCAATAATTTATAAACTGTATGAAAAAACTTAGTGCTGTTATGTAAATATTTAGGATCTTATTCTTTAATTAAAATTAATGTTATTTAGTAATTCAATTTTTAACTATCAACTTTTATTGCACAAGTTAATAATGAGGTTAAACTTCAATTTGCAGAGCAGCACTATAAATTTGAGATCGTAAGTTTTGGGGTTAGATTCTTGCTTTTGAAATTGGTTAATTGTGTTGCATTTTGGCATTTTCAAGGCAATTGTAGACTATCCTTATGTTGAGTGACTAAGACAGACAACATTTGAACTATTGTAAATAGTAGCTTTTTTTGCCCTTTTAGGGTTAAATTTTAAAAAAATTACCAAAACAGGGCTTCATGTAAACATATTCTCAGTCTGGGGTTGGGGGGTGACGTGGCAAGAGAATCGTCCAGACCAGGGACGACACATATGATGACGTGGCAAACTGTGAGAGTGTCGTCTCACCAGTAGCCGACACTTATGACAGTGTCGTCCCATTATTAGACGACACTCATGAGATGTTGACACGTGTCGCTCAATGATGTCACGTTCTATCTTAATCATTTTTTTTTCTCCTTCAAAAATTATATCCTCATTTCCTTCATATATTCTACTATTTGAATATAATATAACAACAATTTCATTCATCTTGCATTACAAATAAGCCAAATTTATAATATAATAAAATTATATTTAAAAATTAATTTGTAATTACAAATATTTAAATTTTTTTTAATACTTAAAAAATTTATATTACAACATTAACACTTAAAATATTATCCAAATATAAAATAAATATTATTATTCAAAATATAAATTCTTAATAGCCAATAAACAAAATTATATATTTATAATACTTAAAAAAATTTAACCTTATTATTGCTCTTCTTGCAATTTCTTCTCCAGCCTATCTAGTTACAATTTCTTCTCCAGCAGCTTATTCGTTCTTCAGCTTCACGGTTAAAATGTGAAAGTTTCATATTTATACACATTTGAAGTTGGATAAAAGAATATATCAAAATTTTTATCCATTGGTCACATTAAAATCGGGTATCGTGGGCCGGCACTAGAGTCGTCTTTGTTATAGAGGCTACTAAAACCGTCCAAAAATAGACGACACAACTTTATTAAGCGACACGTGTCAATATCTCATGAGTGTCGTCTAATAATGGGACGACACTGTCATGAGTGTCGGCTACTGGTGGGACGACACTCTCACAGTTTGCCACGTCATCATATGTGTCGTCCCTATTGTGGACGACTCTCTTGCCACGTCACTCGCCCACCCCAGACCGGGAATATGTTTACATGAAGCCTTATTTTGGTATTTTGTTTTAAAATTAACCCTAAAAAGGCAAAAAAAACCCGTAAATAGTAGTTGTGCTTTGAATAAAAGATAAGAAAAATATGAATAATTAAGTAAAACTGATTTCTTGAATGAAAAGTCAATGTATCTAATACCTATCAGTGTCTTTCCTACTAGACTTTTTATTTTTTTTACTAATAGCATGCAATTTTTCACTTGATTATGAGAAATAACTTAAATACGCATCAGAATCAACTTAGTACCTTTATCATCACTTTTACCGAAGGATAATTTGTGGGATGTGTGCGATTTGCCGACTAACAGCACTTGTCTCTATTCGGCATTCTTTAATTAAGAGGGAACAATACTCGACCTCAAAGATCTTTAAGTTGGTAAGACGACTCATCCCTTCGGGCAGCGACTCCAGTTTTTGGCAGAATGAGACCTCGATATGTTGAAGCGATGAGAGATTGCAAATCCAATCTGGCAAAGCCTTTAGATTTCTACAGTGACCTAATGAAATTTTTCGCAGAAAAGGAAGGCAGTCGGTGCCGTCCTTAAAGCCAGTTTCAAATTCCTCTAGCGTTTCACTTTCATGCCATTCAACTTGAAGAGACTCGAGAGAAATCAGATTTTGCATCCAACCCTTTGGTAACTTGGTAGGATCAGAAATTGTAAGTTCTTTCAGCATGGAAAGAGGAGCAGCTGAGGAAGATGAGTCAGCTGAACATGTTGTGTTTAATGTTGCTATTAATGGCTCCGCAGCACTATATTCACCCCAATTTAAAACCTTGACTTTTGGAAAAGTAGGCATGCAAATCAAATTTGAACAGAAAGAGACACGTAGTTGAGAAAGATTAGTAAATGAAAGAGGTAAGGAGAGATTATGTGAATCATTGATATCATCTCTCCGCCGCCATCCCCTGAGTTCAGGACAACCTAATAATACGAGGCTCTCCAAGGAGGGGAAGGTGGTTACTGCAAAACCATCTTCGTAAAGATATATGTATTCCAATTCATCAAGATGCGTTATATCAAGTGACTTCAGAGACGGGAGACGTTCCATCGATGGGAGACAGCGGCAATTAGGAAGTTTATAGAGAGAGATGTGAACAACATTTGTGAGGAGAGAAAGCCAGTTTGGGAAATGCACGCCTCGGTAAGATCTCACCTCCAATTGCTTAAGATTGCTGTGGGGCTGAAGGTTTTCTAATAACTGTAAGCTGTCACAGTTACGGATACCTGTAGAATTGAAAATCGATAGGGAAGAAAAAATTGTTTGTATATTTCTCACACTTTTTGTCAAATAATACAATGATCTATTTATAAAATAAAAAAACTTAAATTCTATTAATAGTCATAAACTACAATCAAAACCCATTATAACCATTTATCAAAAAACATAACTGCTAACTCTTGACCTTTTATTCTAACAAAAAACTGCTGAATTAAAACCAATTAAAACCGACATTTAAGTTTATTCAACAAAACTCCCTCGTAAACTTAAATGCTTCTGCCATCTTTTATGCCAATCAATTTCTTGCAATTATCAAAAAGTACCGTTGGTAGCGGTTTCGTGAAAATATCTGCGACTTGATCTCGACTTGCCACGTGCACTAATTCCACATTTCCTTCCTTCACATGATCTCGAATGAAATGAAAGCGAATGTCAGTGTGTTTGCTTCTCTCATGATTCACTGGATTCTTTACCAACTCAATTGCTGATTTATTGTCAACTCGTATCACAGTCGCATCGATTTGTTGTTGCTTCAATTTGTCCAACAGATTTCTAAGCCATATTGCATGACATACACACCCAGATGCTGCCACATATTCAGCTTCACATGTTGAGAGCGTCACGATTGGTTGCTTCTTTGAAAGCCAAGTAAAACCTGTGTTACTCATAAAGAACACATACCCTGATGTACTTTTCCGATCGTCTAAGTCTCCGCACCAATCACTATCAGAGTACCCAATTAACTTGTAATCTTTCGCTTTCGAATAGAATAACCCTAGTGATACCGTTCCTTGGATATACCTTAGAATTCGCTTCAACGCCTTCCAATGTGAATAAACTGGCTCCTCCATGAACCGACTTACAATGCCAACACTTAACGAAAGGTCTGGTCTGGTGCATGTGAGATAGCGAAGACTTCCCACAAAACTTCGATATTTGCTCGCATCAACTCTTTCTCCTCCATCGAATTTAGAGAGTTTTGCACCCGGTTCCATTGGTGTTGATACAGGATTGCAATGTGTCATCTTGTATTTTTTCAAAATCTCCTTTGCATATGTTTCCTGTGACACAAAAATCCCCGTCTCTTCTTGTCTTACCTCCAGACCAAGGAAAAACTTCATTAAGCCCAAATCTGTCACCTCGAATTCTCATGCCATTGTGCTCTTAAACTCTTGTATCATTTTACCATTGTTCCCTATAAAAATGAGGTCATCAACATAAAGAGCAACAAATAACATATTACCTCCAATCTTCTTCACGTAAAGGGCATGTTCATAGGGACATTGTTCAAACCCGTTCTCCTTGAAGTATGTATCAATGCGAGAATTCCATGCCCGCGGTGCTTGCTTCAACCCGTAAAGTGCCTTCTTCAATTTCAGCACCTTCTTCTCTTCTCCTCTTTTCATGTACCCGGGTGGTTGTTCGATGTAGATTTCTTCTTCAAGCACTCCATTCAAGAATGCTGACTTGACATCCATTTGGAATATCGGCCAATTGAATTGAGCCGCTTGTGAAATGAGCAATCGGATTGTCTCCATTCTTGTAACAGGAGCAAATACTTCATCATAGTCAATTCCCTCATTTTGCTTGTATCCCTTTGCAACAAGTCGCGCCTTGTACCGTTCTATCTCGCCTTGAGCATTCATTTTTCTCTTGAACACCCACTTCACACCAATGGGCTGACTTCCTTTCGGTAACTCCGTTAACTCCCATGTGTTGTTGCGGCCAATTGCTCTAATCTCCTCGTCCATGGCAGTTTGCCATTTCTTGTCTCGCACCGCCTCTTCAAAGCTTATATTCTCGGAATCTGCCAAAAGACATACAATGTGTACCTCATTTGTCGAATCATACAAATCTTGCAAACTTCGCATTCTGGGTTGTTGCGGTTCATCTTCATCACTGGTAGTTTCAGGATTTGTCGGTGTGATTGTTGGTATAGCGGTTGATGATTCTCCATCTTCATTGATAACCTCCATTGAGTTACTCCAATCCCACTCATTTGCTTCATTAACTTGTACATCACGACTCACCACAACCTGCTTGCTTATTGGGTCTAGTAGCTTGTATCCTTTTGTTTTGTTGTCATACCCAATAAAAACATACCTTTTGCTTTTGTCTTCGAGCTTCGTTCTTCGCTGATTCGGCACGTGTGCATAGGCCACACTACCAAATACTTTGAGATGAGAAACCGTTGGTTTTTGTCCACTCCATGCCTCTTGTGGTGTTTGATCATCTAGCTTCGCATGTGGACACCGATTTTGCACATAGATAGCGCATTGCACGGCTTCTGCCCAAAATTCTTTCGACATCTTCTTGCTTTTAAGCATTGACCGAACCATATCAAGAACAGTTCGGTTCTTCCTCTCGGCCACACCGTTTTGTTGGGGAGAGTATGGTGCGGTTAGAAATCGCCTTATGCCTTGCACCTCACAATACTCCATGAAAGCTGTTGAAGTATACTCGCCACCTCTATCAGATCGTACCGATTTGATGTGTCTACCGATTGCTTTTTCCACCACCACTTTAAACTTTTTGAACACCTCGAATGCTTCGGATTTTTCTTTCAGAAAATAAACCCAAGTTTTTCGTGAGAAATCATCAATAAAAGAAATAAAATATCTCTTACCGCTAAAAGATTCAGGAGTGATTGGTCCACATATGTCGGTATGAATCAATTCGAGAGGTTCCTTAGCACGATATTCTGCCTTCTTTTGAAATAAAGTTCTCGTATGCTTGCTGAGCACACATTCTTCACAAAATTTGTTCTCATAATCCATGTCCGGTAGCCCGTGCACCATGTTCTTCTTTGCCAACTTGTTTAGACCACCATGATGTAGGTGACCAAAACGGAGATGCCACAGCAAAGCCTTGTCTTCTACGTTGACTCGCAGACATTTTTCTCGAACGCTTGTCAAATTCAGCTTAAACATGCGATTTCTCCCCATTTCAACTCGAGCAACCAAATGCCCGTGTTTATCTTTCAAGTATAATATCCGGTCTTTCATAAATACCGAATAACCTTTCTCCATGAGTTGTCCCATACTCAAAATGTTGCTCTTGAGATCTGGTACGTAATATACATCTTGGATTAACCCAACCAAGCCATCCTTTTGTAAATAACAAACCGTACCTTGGCCTTTGACTTCAACCTTCGACGCATCTCCAAATGACACATGTCCAGTTTCAACCTTTTGTATCTCTTTGAATAGGTGCTTGTGCCCGCACATATGATTGCTTGCGCCCGTGTCAAGGTACCACACCGTGTTGTTATTGGTGTTGACTTCGTTATGTGCCATCAAGAGAAAACCTTCTTTTGCTTCCACATCTTCCGTGACTAAATTCGTTGTCTCTTCCACCTTTTTCTCGACCCGACATTCTTTCGCAAAATGCCCCACCTTTCCACAATTATAACACTTATCGGAGTTGCAGTCCTTCGCATAGTGACCATATTTGCCACACTTGTAGCACTCGATGTTGGAATAATTGGATCGACTGCCTCTCCAACGACCACGTCCTCTACCTCGAATGTTTTGAGAATAGAGTGTCTTCTCGTCTTTGATTGACGCCTTGGTTTGAAGTGCTTGTTCAAGTATCTCCTCCTTCTTCTTCTTCTTACGTTGTTCGTGTGCCTCGAGAGAACCAGCGAGCTCGTCGATCGTGAGCATTGATAGGTCTTTTGACTCTTCTATAGCACATACAACATTCTCAAAATTGTCAGTTAACGACCTCAAAATCTTCTCCACAACTCGTGCATCAGTTAAAACTTCTCCGTTTCGGTTGAGTTGGTTCACCACGGTTTGAACACGCGTGATGTAGTCAGAGACCCCTTCTGACTCTTTCATCTTCATGCTTTCCAACTCACCATGAAGAGTTTGAAGGCGGACTTGTTTAACCCGGTCAGCTCCTTTGTACACATTCGCCAAAATGTCCCACGCTTCTTTTGAAGTTGTTGCATTCGCAATCTTCTCAAAGCCTGACTCGTCAACAGCTCGAAACAACAAGTACAAAGCTGCCTTATCTTTCGATCGCGTCTCTTTCAACGCCTTGTGTTGAGCTGCCGAATATCCCGTGGTAGTTTCCGGTTCTTTGAAACCTTCTTCTACCACCTCCCAACCATCTTGAGACCCAAGAAGAGCTTTCATTTGAATGCTCCAATTCTCATAGTTCACCTTCGTTAGTCGAGGCAGTGGCACATTATTGGTCACACTCGCCATAGGCTCTTGATACCAAATTGTAGAATTGAAAATCGATAGGGGAGAAAAAATTGTTTGTATATTTCTCATACTTTTTGTCAAATAATACAATGATCTATTTATAAAATTAAAAAACTTAAATTCTATTAATAGTCATAAACTACAATCAAAACCCATTATAACCATTTATCAAAAAACATAACTGCTAACTCTTGACCTTTTATTCTAACAAAAAACTGCTGAATTAAAACCAATTAAAACCGACATTTAAGTTTATTCAACAATACCGAGGTCTCTTCTTGGCCATTCATCGTAATATTCATTATGCCAATCTAGAGTCAAGGATTTAAGGAATTTTTTTTCTTTTAAATTTACATCCTGTGATTCCAGAGCCACGTTTCCCACCAATTCGAGACTCTCAATTCTTAATTCTCCCCTCAGCTGGTTTAAGTCTTTCAATTCATTTAGTGGGGCATTGCCTGTTTCTTGGCTACTTCTCACAATAAAGGCTGGTAAGAATTGCAACGAGTATAATTTTCCCAACCCAGGTATCCCATTTAAGGGGAAATAAACAGCAAGATATTTTAAATGCTTCAATCCTTCAATTGAATCAGACGATTTGCGAAAATAATAACTTGAAATCTTCAAGACGTGCAAGTATTTGAAATTGGCAACCGGCACTTCCTCATCAAAATTGCAATGATCCGGCAAAATCAACGTTCGCAGCCTGCTTTTATCTAATGAATTCAATAAATGAATGGCCCCAGATTCCAAAGATACGTGCATGGGACTACCTTCAACCTTTTCCGCCTTGCTATCCAAGTAACAGCAATCATTGCCAGCAACAAGCATTGCAAGATCATGCATTAAATCATGCATTTTGAAACTAATGATCTCACCATATTTATCACACTCAGCCTCTTGAAAAAATGAGTTCATAAAAAAAATCTTTACTAATTGGTTACCAATGTCTTCCATGTCCATGCGGTGTTTTTCAGCTGAATATTCAAGGTAACCCTGTGCCATCCATAGCTGAATCAACTCATTCTTTGTAATTCTTGAATCCTTGGGATACAAAGAGCAATAAGCAAAACATTGTCTCATTTCTGGAGACAAGTTGTGGTAACTGAGTTTTAGAATTGGCATGATACTATCTTGCTCTTCACATAATTTCCAGAAGTCATCACGTAAGACATTCTTCCATTCACTTTCTTCAGTTTGTCCTCGTAACAGGCCTCCCAGTGTTTTGACCGCCAGTGGAACCCCTTTGCATTTTCTTGCTATTTCTTTCCCCATTGATTCTAGAGTTTGATTCACTTCTTTGGAATCATCCTCAAATGCAATGTTCTTCAACAAACTCCAAGATTCTTCGTCAGTCAAACCTTTCAAAGGATAGGAAGTACTAGCAGTCATTGCCTTTGCTACATTATCACTTCGAGTTGTCACTAAAATTTTGCTATTTTGAGCGCCACACATTAAGTACTTTCTCAGTTCAGCCCATCTGTCATGTCTCTCATTCCAAATGTCATCCAGGACCAACAAATATTTTTTACCGCTTATTTTTTGGTGAAGTTTTCTTTGCAAGTTGCCTAACGATAACTTGTCTTCAACTTGGTCACCAGTGATTGATTCTAATATTTTCTTCAGAATAGTTTTCACATCAAAGTTATCAGAGACACACACCCACATTTGCGTTTCAAAAACCTTCTTCACTTCCAAGTCATTATACACCAATTGTGCAAGAGCTGTCTTCCCTAAACCACCAATGCCAACAATAGCAATCACAGAAACTATCTCCTTTTCATGTGATTGTCTCAACAGACTAATAATCTCTTTTTTACTGTCATCTCTTCCAATGATATCTGATTCTAACACAAAAGAACATGTTTCCCTCCATTCAAGGTTAGTCTGCTTAACTACCCCTAATCTTGGGCTTAAATTCAAATCCTTCATTTCTTTTAGTACATCATTAAAACTTTCTAGTATATCTTTAATTTTGTCAGGCATTTCACTGTCTAAAGGAATTTGATTTGAAGATGAAATGGAACGAAGTACCTTGTTTACTTCTTTTCCTTCTGCTGCATTCAATTTGTCTCTCTTAAATTCGATAGCAAGGTCATCTAAGAAGTCATCTGCATGATGAAGTACTTTTTTGAACTTTCTGATCCAAACTCGCACACCACCGTTTTGATCTTGTTTATTGTCGGCGTCAAGAAGCTTATCATTGATGGATTCAATAGTGTTCTTAAGCTCTTCTAACTCTTCCATCACACCATACTCTTGTCCAAATTCAAGAAAATCTGGGGAAGCTAACCTGTGAATAAGATTTGATGCAACAGCAAATGGCACTGACTCAAGCTCAGCCATCAGTGAAAGAGAATGATGAAGGGTTGATACTTGATACTAATATTGAATGAGAGTAATGCAGTGTGTAAAAACATATAACCTTGAAAACATATAAAATATAAATAAATTTATTCTTTTATTTCACATATTTAGGCGACTAAAAAAATGTGGTCGCACTAAATTCTTAAAAGACTAATTCTAAAATAAAAATTTACAAATATAGTACTAATTAGATTATGGGTCTTACTTTAGGATATAATAGAAAAAGAGAATTTATTTAGTTGAAAATCAAAGTAAAAATACACTTAAAAATTTATTTATTAAACAGCTCTAATTCAATCTATCAAACTTTAAAACTAGTTATTTTAAATATCTTTTATGATTTTTAAATATTTTAATATTTTAATTTCTATAATTTATCTAAATTATAATATCTATTACTTTGTTTAGTTAATACAATTTATTCTTGTTTCTATATATTTTTGTTTTTACGAATGTTAAATTACTGTAATATCATTTAATATTTTAAATATTTATATATAAAAAAAGAATTTGAAAAATCTAAATAATCTGTACAAAATATGAATACTATGGTTAAAAATGAAATTATGTCAAAGAATAACGTGTATATATATAATACAAATGTTTGAATCTAATTAAAATAAATAATAACGGAACCAATAATTTCAAATAATGAAGGTATCTTTGCCAATTTTAAATTATTACGCACTTTATTGGTATCATTCTTAGTCTATTTGAGTTTTTATTTTGGCTGAATTGAGTGATTCAACTAAATTTATGGGGCTGAACATAAAACTTATATAAACTCATGGTACTAAATATTAATTGGCATCGTACTAAAAATTTTCTCTTTCAGATTTAAATATTAACTTACACACCATAATATTACAACTGATTTTTCTGTATATTGCACGGCATTATTAAATTAAAACATTTTTTACTAAATAATTATAAATATATATTACACAACTATTTTGAAAATTTAACAAATTTATAAAATTAAAAAAATTAAATATTATATTTATTAATAAGAAATATTTTATTATATCAGGTAAATAAATAAATTTCAAATTAAAATTAAATTAAAAATCTTCAAAATTTAATTTAATAATGAATTAAAATAAATAATTAATATAATAAAAACACCTGGGATAGTAAAAAATAGAACCAATTTTCAAAAGTACAGTCATTTGAAAATTTTCTTAAAAGCGTTCTTAAAATTCACACTCATAATGTTATTTCATATATCTGATATTATTTAAATTTTTAAGAATAAATTTTAATATTTTATCTAAGAAAATATTTTACCAATAATATTTAGTATCGCTTTAAAAATCTCCTAGCATAATATTATAATAATAAACATACCCATAATTTTCGTTTACACAACCAATTATTCAGGGTGTAAAATTTGGTTGTGTTAAATCTCGTTTACACAACCGATGAAAATTAGACTATAGATAAAAAATTTTAAAATAATATTAAATTAGGAAATACAAGTGTTTAACAATGCTTTACAAAAACCTTGAAATGTGTTAAAATTTAATACAAATTTTATTTTTTGTGAGAGAATATTATTTAATTTTAAAATAGAATGGAGGGTAATATAATGTAATTTTAAGATAGAACATTGTAATTTAATCTTAATAAAATAGACAAACATAATGATTCTAAAATTTTAATTAATAAATCTAATCAATATTTTTGCTAAAAAATAATATAATTATGATTTAGTTTGATTTCAGTTAAATTATAATTCAGTACAAAAGTAAAAATTAGAAAATAATCAATCGGTTAGTAATTTTAAAATATAAAAAGTTACAAACTTGAGAAAAAAATAAAGAGGTGAATGGTTAAAACTCAAAAATTAAAATAAGGACAAATAAAAACTATGACAAGAAAAAGGCACTTATAAAAAGATAGAAGAAAGCATAAAAATAAAATTCTTAAATAAAAAGAAATAACAATTTTTTTGTAATATAACAACACTTTTTTTTTATTCTTTTAAGAAGCTTTTATTGCATTAACGGTTAAAAGATAAAAGCACTATAAAACAATACCACATCAAACATTAAATAAATTTAAACACACACACATCAAACTGTGTTAAAAACAGAGATTAGAAAAATAAAATACAAACTAAACTGGAAACTAAACAAGTTATATGAAAGAATAAAAAAAAAAACCATGATTAACAGTGTCTTAGGTACCAAGTTTATGAGTTAGTAAACTCACTTAAACTTAACACAACTCAGAGTAAGAATCGAAATATACGCTAAATTCTGTTAAAATCCAAGAAAATCTGCAGAATCTAACCTGTGAATAAGATTTGATGCAACAGCAAATGGCACTGCCTCAAACTTAGCCATCAGTGGAAGAGAATGATGAAGAAGAGTTGATATTGATATTCAAAGAGAGGAATGAAATCAATGTGTAAAAAGAGTGAGGAAAATGAATACTATAAGTATGCCACTCCTGGTTCACGCGTTTGGTAAAAAAAACTAGAGTACAACTTCATCATTTTTTTCGTTTTATTTCTTTATTCTTATGCATGTAATCATGTCATTATTTTAAATTAAAATATTTATCGTGAAACTGTTATTGAAAATATAAAATAATTTATAAAATTGACCTTTCATTTCACATTGTTAGTTGAATATGAAAACAAGAAAGAGTGGTTTGAAAACGATTAAGAAACAGCGTTAGAAGAGTGGTATATGGACCCAGGAATTAGGAGAGATCCACAAAAGCCAAAAAATGAAATGAATGATATAAAATAAGCTAATACGCGTTTTTCAACTTTCACCCATGTTTCAAACGTAATATAACTATATTATAGTAGTTTTTTTTTTTTAAATCTTTTTGACCCACGACCTCTATCTTTAAAAATAACTATAAGCTAAAAATATATTTTTAGTCTTTGTATTTTGATACATTTTAATTTTGAGTTTTTAAATTAATATTTTTATTTTAATCCCTATACTTTAGTAAATTTTGTTTTAAGTTTTTCTAGTCAAGGTGAACCAACTGAAGACTGACATTTTGACAACACTTGAAGGAACCAAGAGGGTGACTAAAAACATATTTAACCTATAACAATATTATAGCACTTTCTCTTTTATTTAAAAGTTAAAATTTAAATATTTCTTCATTAAACTTCCCTTTACTTAAGTGTTACTGTTTTGATGTTATAAATTATAACTCATTAAACATAAATTAAATAAAATCGTTTGAGAATTCAGAGTGTTACAATCTACCCTAAAGAAGCCCTAAGGACCAAATCGTTTGATAATTCACTTAGTGCTTGCTCAACATTAATAGGATTGTTTCTACCCAGTATTCAAATAATTTTTCTTACTAGGATTTCATTCTTATTCTAGATAATAGATGGATGAAAATTATATAAAGACAAATTTTAATGTCAATGTCATACTAATAATACATTTCTACCCATTTATTTGTTAAATTATTGTAAATACCATTTATTTATTAAATTATTGTAAATACTTGAGTTTTGCATTTGTTCTGTTGCCTGACTTGGTAGAAATGCTATTAGATTGGAATAGGTATGAATCCAAAAGAAATTGGGTTTGATTGAGTTAAATGTGTTGATCTATATATCAAAATGTTCAATACATTGTAAATGAGGTGTTTTTCTAGACTTACATTGACCATAGCATTGATTTTCAACAACTGTATGAAAAAACTTATTGATGTTATATAAATTTTTGGGGTCTTATTCTTTAATTAAAATTAATGGTATTTAGGGATTCAATTTTTTACTATCAAACTTTATTACACAAGTTAATAATGAGGTTAAACTTCAATTTGAAGAGCAGCACTATAAATTTGAAATCATAAATTTTGGGGTTAGATTCTTCCTTTTGAATTTGGTTAATTGTGTCGCATTTTGGCATTTCCAAGCCCATTGTAGACTATCCTTCTTAGGCTGAGTAACTAAGACAGACAGCATTTTAATATATGCCTTCGGTAATGGAATTATTGTAAATAATAGTTGTGCTTTGAACAAAAGGTAAGAAAAAAAAATAGGAAAATTTGAACAATTAAGTAAAACTGATTTCTAAAATCCAAAGTCAATGTATTAATACCCACCAGTGTCTGTCCGACTAGGTTTATATATATATATATAACTAATAACGTGCAATTTTTCACTTAATTATCATAAATAAACACCTCACTGCAGAGTTTATGAAAAGTCCATAATGATATTTTCATTAGTGAGTTTAATATAAAGATAATTTAATAATAAGAATAATATAAATTTATTTTAAATTATTATTTCACCTTTCCTTCTTGATTGATCTCTAAATATTATATTTTTACATGATCTCATGTATTTTTTAAGTATCAATAAGAGATGGTGCATCAGTTGATTGTTTCATAAGAAATTAAAATGAAAAAAAAATTAGGTTAAAATCATATAACAAGCAAGTTAATAAATGAAAGCACTAAATCTATTCTCAAATGGAGAAGAAAGAACACACAAATTTGCAAAAAAGTAAAATAGAATCTCAAAAAGAAATCCAAGCTCAAACATAAAAAATCTAAGAATAACAATAGACTTCTTGTGGTGAAGAATTCTTTGGGACTTACTGTAGATTAATCAATTTAGTTTCAAATTCTAAATTTTTTTTCTGTTTTCCTTTCAAGAGAAGGAAAATCTTCTTCATATTTAGAAAACATCATACATGGAATTAATTCAGGTGTAAAATGAACTTAGGAGGAGAAAGAATTTATGTTTTACTTTTTTAATCGATAGTCATTACTAATTTATAGACCAATTTTAATGTAAAGTACACATTGATAGACACTAAAAACATCAATGCACATTACGCATACATATTGAACATATGGATTAAAATAACCGATTAAACATATATGTTACTACTTACTAGTGTGCAAAAGAAATTAGATACTATCATCATACAAATTTTTTCTATCTATTATCTAAGAAAATTATGAATTATAGTATTTAAAAAATATGAACCCAAGATACACACAATCCAACTTGCATTATGCAACACCAAGTCAATTTTAAGGAAGGAATTAGGTTCTTATGGCTTCCTGTAGGAAGATTTTGACCCTGTTATGATGGCCAAGATAATGCAATAACCACTCCAATAGATGCAATCACAGCAACAGAATTTAACAAAGTTGCCTCATCAGCTCAAGTATCTTTACTTGCAACTTAATGCAATAAAAGCAATAAAGAAAGAAAAAGAATTGATAGTGTGCATTATTTTAACAAATATGTTTGAAATTGTGCAATGAAAAACATAATAAACAAAACTTGAGCATATAAATAAAATATCAATTGATAAAGTAACAAAACTCCCCGTAACAAAGTGAATCTAAAAAGTGTTAGTTTTGCAAATGACAGAACATATTATCTTAAGTAATAAATAATTGAGCTTTTAATACAAATTTTATAATGTTTTTAATTTTAAAAAAATGATCTTTAATTTAATCTTATTAATATAATAGAATATTTATTATTAATAATTAAATATTCATTTATAAAAATTATTAAATTATATATTTTAATTTTTATTTAAAAATTATATATATTTTTTAATAATGCCAGTGCAAAGCCATAAAACTTATTAGCATTAAATATATTATTAGGATAATTTGTATTTATCTTTGAAACAAATGTACACTCCGAATAAGATCTCAGATTGACATCTTGATACACTAATTTACCGTAATAATGAATAGAGTAAACGATGACTCTGCCATGGGAATAGCGGCTTCTTGCTTGCTTGATAGAAGGGCTTCCATTCACCTATGCAGACTAAAAGTGCTCTCCGAACCGTGCCGGATAGTCACCCATCACACGGCTCTCAAACCCAACCTATGGTCAATCCTGGGAGACAAAGTCAAACTCAAAAACTAGTTAAAAGTATTTTATTGGTAAAACAAATAGGTGCAGTAATTGTCGAGTTACACGACGTTTACACTAAATCATAGAAGAGGGCATCCGTACCGTACGTTCCGTAAGGATAATTTGTGGGATGTGTGCGATTTGGCGACTAACAGCACTTGTCTCTGTTCGGCATTCTTCAAGTAAGAGGGAACAATCCACGACCTCAAAGATCTTTAAGTTGGTAAGACCACTCATTCCTTCGGGTAACGATGCCAATTCTGGGCAGTGTGAGATTGTGATATGCTGCAGCGATGAGAGGTTGCAAATCCAATCTGGCAAAGAATTTAGCCTTCTACACCAATACAAGTTGATTTTTCGCAGAGAACAGGGAAGGCAGTTGTTGTTGTCCAATTCCTCAAGTGTTTCACTTTCACATCCAATTTGGAGAGACTCGAGAGAAGTCAGATTTTGCATCCAACCCTCTGGTAAATTCATAGGACTAGAAATCGTCAATTGTTTGAGCATGGAAAGAGCAGCAGCAGAGGAAGATGAGTCAGCTGACCATGTTGACGCTGTTGTGTTTAGTGTTTCTATTAATGGCTCCGCACTGCATTCATACCAATCCAAATTCTTAACGTTTGGAAAAGTAGGCATGCGAGTCAACTGGGGACAACAAGAGGCTCTTAGTCGAGAAAGATGAGGAAATGAAAGAGGTAAGGAGAGATTAGGTGAATCAATATCATCTCCCCGCCTCTGCCATCCCCTGAGCTTGGGACAATCAAATAATGTGAGGCTCTCCAAGGAGGGGAAGAAAGTTACTGCAAAACCATCTTCATAACCATCTTCATATATGTAGTCCAATTCACGAAGACACTCTATCGCAAGTGACTTCAGGTAAGGGAGATGTTCCAAAGGTGGGAGACAGCTACAATTACCAAGCTCATAGAGAGTGATGCCAACAACATCTTTGAGGAGAGAAAACCATTCTGGGAAAAGCACACCTGGATACCACCTCACCTCCAATCGCTTAAGATTATGGGGGGGCTCAAGGTTTTCTAATAATTCTGAGCTGCCACTGTTATGGAAGTCTGTACGCGACCAATTTAGAGTCAAGGATTGAAGGAATTTTTTTCCTTTTAAATTTACTTCCTCTGATTCCAGAGCCACGTCTCTCACGCGATCGAGATGCTTGATTTCTAATTTGCCTCTTAGGTTCAAGTCTCTCAATTCATTTAGTGTTCCATATTTTGCTTCGCTATCTCCCACAACAAAGGTTGGTAAGGACTGCAGCGAGCACAATTTTCCCAACCCAGCTGCCATCCCACTCAAGGATTCATCATCAGCAATATCAAGATATCTTAAATGCTTAAATATTCCAGTTGAATCAAACAATTTGCAGAAGGAAGAAACTGCCACCCTCAAGGCGCGTAAGTATTTGAACTCTGCAATAACACACAAATATTCTTCCTCTACAATGTCATACGGCAAAATCAGAGTTCGCAGCCTGCTTGGATCTAATGATTTCAACAAATGAACGGCACCTGATTTCAATGACACGTGCATGGGACTACCTTCAACTTTTTTTGCCTTACTATCCAAGTAACAATAATCATTGCCAGCAACAAGCATTGCAAGATCATGCATTAAATCATGCATTTTGAAGCTAATGATCTCACCATATTCATCACTTCTTTTTGCGTCTTGAAAAAATGAGTTCATCAAAAACATCTTTACAAATTGATTACCTACATCTTCCATGCGCTGTTTTACAGTTGAACATTTAAGGTAATCCTGTGCCATCCATAACTCAATCAACTCATCCTTTAGAATTTCTGAATCCTTGGGATACAAAGAGCAGTAAGCAAAACATTGTCTCATTTCTGGCGACAAGATGTGGTAACTGAGTTTTAGAATGGGCATAATACTATCTTGCTCTTCACATAATTCCCAGAAGTCACCACGTAAAACATCTTCCCATTCACTTTCTTCATTTTGTCCTCGTAACAGGCCTCCTAGCGATTTAACCGCCAGGGGAACCCCATTACATCTTTTTGCTATTTCTTTCCCCACTGATTCTAGATTTTGATTCACTCCTCTGGAATCATCCTTAAATGCAATGTTCCTCAACAAATCCCAAGATTCTTCATCAGTCAAACCTTTCAAAGGATAGGAAAGGCTAGCAGTCATTGCCTCTGCTACATTTTCACTTCGAGTTGTCAATAAAATCTTACTATGGTGCGCACCACACATTAAGTACTTTCTCAATTCAGCCCATTTCTCATGTCTCTCATTCCAAATGTCATCCAGGACCAACAAATATTTCTTACCACTTATTTTTTGGTGAAGTTTTTTTTGCAAGTTGCCTAATGATAACTTGTCTTCAACTTGGTCACCAATAATTGATTCTAATATTTTCTTCAAAATAGTTTTCACATCAAAGTTATCAGAGACACACACCCACATTTGCATATCAAAAAATTTCTGCACTTCCAAGTCATTATACACCAATTGTGCAAGAGCTGTCTTCCCTAAACCACCAATGCCAACAATAGCAATCACAGAAACTTTTTCCTTTTCACATGCTTGTCTCAACAGACTAATAATCTCCTTTTTACAATCATCTCTCCCAATGATATCTGATTCTAACACAGAACTATCAGTTTCCCTCCATTCACTGTCAGTCTGCTTAACCACCATAGAACTTGGCCTTAAATTCAAATCCTTCGTTTCTTTTACTAGATCATCAAAACTTTCTCGTGTTTTTTTAATATCTTGAGTCATTTGAATGGGAGAATCAATTCGTTTTGAAGATGACCAATATTTAATTAACTTGTTTAGACCTTTTTGATGTACTGCATCTAATTTGTCTCTCTTAAATTGGAAAGCAAGGTCATCTAAGAAGTCATCTGCAGCATGAAGTGCTTCTTTGAAGTCAGATATCCAATTACGCACACGAACTTGTTCTTGCTTGTTGTCAGCATCAAGGAGCACATCATTGATAGATCCAATTGTCTTCTTAAGCGCTTCCAACTCTTTCATCACACCATACTCCTGTCCAAATTCAAGAAAATCTGGGGAAGCTAACCTGTGAATAAGATTTGATGCAACAGCAAATGGAACTGACTCAAACTTAGCCATCAGTGAAAAAGAAAATGATGAAGAAGGGTTGATATTGATATTCAACAAAGAGAGGAATGCAATGGGCAGAAAGAGTGAGGAAAGGAGCACAAATGTATAAAATGAAATGAATGATTACCAATCTCAAACTAGACATAACTTTTTCCAACTGTCACCGACATTTCAGAACGTTAATATTATTCCGTCAAATTATTTTTTCTTTCTGTTTTTCGGACCATACTATATTTATCTTTACACATTTAATTCATTTAAATTACATAAGATATCAATTCTTTATTTGATTTTTAGAACATTTATGTCACCCACACCTAACTCGACTACAAATATTCAATATAAACGCATAATTATAATCACTTATTCGACCTAGCTATCAATTGATTATAAACACACACATCAAACTGTGTTAAAAACTGAGATTAGAAAAATAAAATAAAATAAAATACAAACTAAACTGGAAACTAAACAAGTTATATGAAAGGAAAAAAAAAAAAACATGATTAACAGTGTGTTTGGTACCAAGTTTATGAGTTAGCAAACGCACTTAAACTTAACACAACTCAGAGTAAGAATCGAAATATACGCTAAATTCTATTAAAATCCAAGAAAATCTTCAGAAGCTAACCTGTGAATGAGGTTTGAAGCAACAGCAAATGGAACTGACTCAAATTTGGCCATCAGTGAAAGAGAAAGATGAACAAGGGTTGATACTGATATTCAAGGAGAGGAATGCAATTAATGTGTAAAATGAGGGAGTAAAAGAGCACAAATCAAATATAATGAAATGAATACTGTAAAGTAGGCCACTCCTGGTTCACGCGTTTGGTATAAAAAGCTATCTTAAAAAGAGCTTTTAGTTTTTAAAAATAAGATTAAGAGGAGAAAAAGAAAATAAAAAAAGTTTAGAGCATATAAACTCAAGACATTTATAAAACATCATTTTATAATCACAGACGTTATAGGAAACATCATTTCCAAATTCCCTACAGACTACTAAGATAAATTCTTTTTATTAAACAGCTCTAATTCAATCTATCAAACTTTAAAACTAGTTATTTTAAATATCTTTTATGATTTTTAAATATTTTAATATTTTAATTTCTATAATTTATCTAAATTATAATATCTATTACTTTGTTTAGTTAATACAATTTATTCTTGTTTCTATATATTTTTGTTTTTACGAATGTTAAATTACTGTAATATCATTTAATATTTTAAATATTTATATATATAAAAAAGCATTTCAAAAATCTAAATAATCTGTACAAATTATGAATACTATGGTTAAAAATGAAATTATGTCAAAGAATAACGTGTATATATATAATACAAATGTTGGAATCTAATTAAAATAAATAATAACGGAACCAATAATTTCAAATAATGAAAGTATATTTGTCAATTTTAAATTGTTACGCACTTTATTGGTATCATTCTTAGTCTCTTTGGGTTTTTATTTTGCCTGAATTGTAACTAAATTCGTGGGACTGAACTGAAGAGCTATATAAACTCATGACACTAAATATTAATAGGTATCGTATTAAAAACTTTCTCTTTCAGATTTAAATATTAATTGACACACCATAATATTACAACTAATTTTTCTGTATATTGCACGGTATTATTAAATTAAAATAATTTTTACTAATTAATTATAAATATATATTATACAACAATTTTGAAATTTAACAAATTTTTAAATTTTTAAAAGTTAAACATTATATTTACTTTTAAGAAATATTTTATTATATCAGGTAAATAAATAAATGTCAATTAAAATTGAATGATAATTTTTTCAAAAATTAATTTAATAATGAATTAATATAATAAAAACACCTAGCATAATAAAAAATAGAACCAAATTTTAAAAGTACAGTCATTTGAAAATTTTCTTAAAAACGTTCTTAAAATTTACACTCATGAATTATATATAAAAATTTATTATTAGATATTATTATAATGCATTTTAAAATGTTATCTAATACTATTATTTCATATACCTGATATTATTTAATTTTTTTAAGAATAAATTGTAATATTTTATCTAAGAGAATATTTTACCAATAATATTTAGTATCGCTTTAAAACTCTCCTAGCATAATATTATATTAAACATACCCTAAGTTTTCGTTTACACAACCAATTATTCAGGGTGTTAAATTTGGTAATTGTAGTAAATACTTGTCTATTATTCTAGTGATTATGTGAGATATACTAAATGATATTTAATTGAGTTAAATATCATATTATCAAATTATTGTGCTTAATTAATTGAGTTAAATAAAATATTTAATTGACAAATTACATTAAAATTTGTCAAATACTTAACTAATTACGAAAACATTATATTTTATATTAATTAAATTAATCTCATAGTTCTTATAATTTTTTATTAAATTCTTATAATTTAAAACTTTTAATTAAGTCCTTATCCTTTTAAGTTTTTGTAATTATATCCTTACACCATTATGTATCAATAACAAAACATAGTATTTTTACATAATTTGATAATTTATTTTTTATATATATTTTCATTTACTATACTTATCTTTCAAAAATATTTTTTCTTTAGATCATATTATTATTGGTAACATCTTTTACATTAATTTATCGTTCGAACATTTAAATTTTGCATCAACTTAATAAAGAAAATTATAAAGACTAACAAATTAATTTTTCTTTATATATTTAACTAATTTATTTTGTAAACTTTGTCAAATTATATTTTTACTATGATGATTAATTTGTGATAGTAATTAATAAATATAATCGATATTTTGTAAACAATGAATAATGTAATTTTATTCAATCCAATATTTATTTTGATTAATTTATTTAAATATTAAAGTCATTATTGTCTCGGCCGCCAATAATGAAACAAAACTAAAAAAGTTTCCACATTTGATGAAATCGTACAAGATGTAAATGACTTATAACTTTACCATATTTAAAGAGTAAAGTAAAATGCAAAAATATTTTAAAAAATTAGGACATTTATATGAAAATTAGACTATAGAGTAAATAAAACGCACTTAAACTTAATACAACTCAGAGTAAGAATCGAAATATAGGCTAAATTCTGTTGAAATCCAAGAAAATCTGCAGAAGCTAACCTGTGAATGAGGTTTGAAGCAACAGCAAATGGAACTGACTCAAACTTAGCCATCAGTGAAAGAGAACGATGAAGAAGAGTTGATACTGATATTCAAAGAGAGGAATGAAATCAATGTGTAAAAACAGGGAGGAAAATGAAGACTAGAAGTACGCCACTCGTGCTTCACGCGTTTGGTAAAAAAAAACTGAAGTACAACTTTATCATATTTTTCGTTTTCTTTCTTGATTCTTATGCATGTAATCATGTCATTATTTAAAATTAAAATATTTATCTTGAAACTGTTATTGAAGATATAAAATAATTTATAAAATTGACCTTTCATTTCACATTGTTAGTTGAATATGAAAACAAGAAAGAGTGGTTTGAAAACGATTAAGAAACAGCGTTAGAAGAGGGGTATATGGACTCAGGAATTAGGAGAGATCCACAAAAGCCAAAAAATGAAACGAATGATATAAAACGTAAATAAATAGATTATTTTACTGTCTCGATTTTAATATTAATTGTGGACTTAAGTGTCACTGTTTTGATAAAATAAAATTAAAATTAGATTAATGAATTATTCTGTTGAAGTTATTTCTTTTCTCTTTCTTTTTGTTACTAGTGTTAACTTAAGTGAAATGTCTTATTAATTCTTTTTAATTTAATTAGAGACACGTGAATTGTAATAGGTTGATAATTCTAAATTTAATTTAAATTTTATATTTATTTTTATTTTATGTTATAAAAGGTTAACTTAGGTAATCTATGTTAACCCTATACTTTTAAATTAGGATACTTGAGATGTGTTAACTTAGTTATATTAAAATTGTAGATAACTCTTTTTTTTTTTTTAAACTTTTTTTTATCCATTTTTAAGAATTATGTAACTTTGAGTTTGTAATTGCACCAGAAGACATGTAACAAAAAAAAAAAAAAAAACTAAATTATCAAGCTAAATTTATTTTTTTTATATTTATTTTTCTTTACTTGTCTCTTACTCATTTATTAACTTATTTATTTATATATTTGTTTGTTTAATATTTTAATAATTTTTATTCTTTTAATTTGTTTCAAAGGGGTAAAATAAATATTTTTTAAAGTTATTATAAATTTGCATAATTTACTCCTGGTATACACTTAAGATGGATGTATTAAGTGTGTTGTCGGATTACGTTTCTACCATTCTCTTAAAGTAAATCAACTCCTAAATTTGTAGACTACTTTCCTTTTTTAAAAGGGTTTTTAATTTTTTCTCACTTTCAATAAAATTCAAAGTAACTCCATTTTTTTAAACATAATTATTTCAAAATGCATAAATCTACAATGATTTTATTTGGTAGTTTTGTTTTAGTACACTTGTCATGTTTTACAATTTCATTAAAATAGAGTTTATATATTATTATTCAAAGTGTCTGCGTGTGTTTTGTCAAGTTACTCATGTTTGTTACTGATGGTAACTAAGTGTGGCTCCTACAGATCAAGAAGTTGAGATAAATTTTCAAGATTTTGAGTTTCGGACATTGTGATCTTCTGCAAAGTCTTAAAGGGTGCTTTTCCTCTTAGTGTGACCCTTCAAACTGTTTGCTAAAAGTTCCTCTTTTGGTATGCTTTCTAGATCTTTTCTATGATTTCATTTATGCCCATAAATTTTTGTTGTTAATTATTTGGCATGTGTTAATCAGGTGGATTTTTTTGTTTTTTAAATTGATTTTTCTCTTTGGACATCTTTTTTATTCTTTATTTCTTTGGTTGCCCTTGTTATGCTAGTTTTGATTACTGACTTAGTTGTATGAAACAAATGAGGTTCTATTCTGAATTTGGTACAAGTCTTTAGTTTCTATTCCTTCTACTGTGGTTCTAGGCCCCCTAGTCTCCATTTTTTCGGTTTTTATTTTTTATTAAAAAATATGTGATTTTCTTGAGTTTCTTCACATGCTTAATTGTTTTAATGACTGTGTTTAAGTATTTGCTTGTTGGGTTCCACAGTTACAATTCTTAGAGCTCTTCACTAAATCGTTCCCTCTGTCAGTTTCTACTTTCTAGAGCCAACAATCTGGACTGAGGAGATTTTTCTCTGTTCAAATTCCCTTCTTTTTTTTTCATTGAGGTTTGTCATAATGTTTAGTTCTTTATTTATTTAATTATTTTTTGTAAAACAGGTTATTTCTTTATTTAACTTTGATCTTCTTATTCTTGCTCCTGGTTTGTGTCTTTGTGATCTTGGGGACACTCTTAGAAATTGGAAGGTACAAGTTAGTTAAGATTTGGAAAGCAATAAGAATTAAAAAAAAAACAATTTATTAATAATTTTAATCCTTGAAAGACGAAATGAACAATAAAAAAGGAAAAAAAAAAAAAGAGAATTTAAAATTTTAAAAATAAGATTAAAATAGTAATTGTTTATTTTCTTAAATTTAAACTTAAGTTTAATTCAACTTTAAAAGTTAACACATAAGATTAGAATTGTCTCAGTCTTAGTTATTATAAACTTTATTTAAGCCATATGTGCGGTTGAGGTGATCAGATTTTAAGGCAAATGACAAAATTACTTCAAAAGAAAGGGTCCTTTGAAAGACATTCTTCGTTGTTAACTGAGTTTTACATGAATTTATTAAATTATTCAAATTCATTATTTGTTTAGGGAAACTCATAAAATTTACTTGATGATAAAAAATAAAATAAAATTTGAGTTTAAAATTGTATTATTTATCATTTCTAACTGAAGAAGAAGAATGATCTGACATAAGACCTCAAAGATGATATGGACCCATGACTTCCTTTTCTCTATAACTGTAATTTTGTGTAAAATGACTTCAATCTAGATTCCAGGGTAGCTAAACTGCTAATATATAGGGTCTGCCACCTGCATTATTTGCATTTGGTGTGAACACTAATTCTTTGCATGTTATGCATAAACTTTTAGGCACTATTCATGTTTTCCCCCATTAATAATTTTTTGTATGAAAATTTTCGTTTTAATTATTGGACATATTAATTGCTGAACTAAAGAAAATGAGCCTTCTATAGGCAAATTCATTCCAAACTAAAAAGTTTAAACAGCATTAGTTGCTGAGAATGTATATGGATCTGTCTAATTTATTAGTTTTATATTTTTAGTTCTGTTTTCATAAACTCTATTTTTATTAAGTGTGTTTTATTACTTTCAATATAGTTTTATATTTATGAGAATGGATAGATATAGGAAAAATACTTACACATGCACCAAGATATTAATTTATTATATATACCAATTTTTCTTGGTTATTTTTTGAACAAGAGAGCTTTTAGGATTTATATTTTTCTTTTATATCTAAAATTATTATTTTTATTCACTTATATATTATTGTTTAAATTTCAAATCATGCCAAATAACTTAGACATAAAGAATATATTTCACGTAGTTAATATATCCATATTATATACAGAGTTATTTATATTTAATATTGAATATATATAAATTGTATGTGTTAATTACATATTTTAATTGTTATTTGAAATGACTACATATGATCAAGATGTTTTAAAAGAATATTTGATTAAAATTAAATAGTACAAATCTAGTCTCAATAGAAGCTTTATTTTTAAAATCTTTTAAAATTGATTGAGAAATTTGAGATGATCCTTATGAGATTACTGTAACAAAGAAGACACTTCATGTTATTTTAAAAAATAGTTTAAATTGCTCTAATAAGTGTTGTTATACTCCCCTCTTTACCTTTAAAATTTAACTGAATTACAAAACTAATAAAACTAGTTTAAGTTAGTTGAGTTTCATAATTTTTAAAAACATATTATTATATAACAATTTTATCCTTAATTAATACCATTAAACCTATTACTATTTTTCCTCTTTAGTCTAAATTTCAAATTGAATATATTTAAATTATATGTATTAAATACATATTTTAATTGTTAATTTAAATGACTACACATGATCAAGACTCTACGCAAAAAATTAGCTTATGAAGCGCCAACTTAGATAGCGATTAGTAAAAATCACTTTATATAAAATACTAAGAGAGCGGTTTCGCCCTAACCGCTCTCCAAATTGAACTTCTTAGAGCGGTTCTAAAGCAACCACTCTCTAAATACTAAGAGAGCCTTGAATGGATGGACTGATAAGAGCTTCACAGACTTGCTTAGTTTATTACATGAGATGCTACCAGAGGGTAATTTGCTACCAAAGAAAACATATAATGTTAAACAAGAACTTGCTTCCATTGGATTGACCCATGAAAAGATACATGTTTGTCTTAATGAATGCATTTTGTTCTGAAATGAGTATGCATTACTAAGTCAATGTCCAAAGTGTAAGGTATCACGATACCTAAAGAAAGAATCAACTGTTGCGAAGGTCATGTGGTATTTTCTAATAATACCCAGATTAAGACATATATTTCGCAGTGCAGAAAATACAAAGCAGATGACTTGGCATGCTAAAGGCAGAATTAGAGATGGAAAGCTTAGGCATCTAGCAGATTCTCTGCAATGAAAAAAATTTGATGACGAATATGAAGAGTTTGCAACTGAAATAAGGAATATACATTTTGCATTAGCAACCGATAGAATGAATCCCCATGGCATGCAAAGTAGCACCAATAGTACATGGCCCGTGATTTTAATAATGTATAACTTACCTCCATGGCTTTGCAGAAGTGAAAATATATGATGCTTTCTTTGTTAATCTCTGGTCCTAAACAACCTGGAAATGACATTAATGTGAACTTGTCTCCTTTAATTGAAGATTTAAAGTTGTTGTGGGATAATGACATAGAAGTATATGAGGGATTTAGAGATGAATATTTCACGGTGAAAGTAATGTTGTATAGAACAATTAATGATTTTCTTGCATATGGAAATCTTTCTGGTTACAACATAAAAGGTCAATGTGCATGTCCAATATGTAAGGAAAAAACAGATTATACAAGACTAGAGCACTGTCACAAGAATGTTTTCGTGGGACATCGTAGGTGGTTAGCACGAAATCATCCTTTCAGAAAAATGAAAAAAGCTTTTAATGAAAGTTGTGAAGAACGATGATGTCCTTATTTGAAAAGTGGAGAAGAGATCTTTGATAAGGTTAAGCATATAAGAACAACATTAGGAAAACCTTTTGCCAAACAAATT